TTCAATTCCATAGCATCCTCATCCCCTAGCAGTGACCTCTCTAACATAGAGGGTTGCGATTCCAAAACCCAGTCCACGCCGAGCATCTTGGGACTGCTTTGCTTGTGCAGACTCCCATCCTGTGAGGATGTCAGCCTGCTGCATATGTCCCTCAGCGTGTGTCCTTCAGGCGCCCTCCTCCCTCCTATCCAAGGCACTTGGGGCCTAAAGGGAGGAGGAGACGCCCAGCCTAGGAAAGCTACTGTGGGAGGCTGAGATGGTGCCTGTAGAGTCATGAAAGCCTACATGGGGGTAAGGAGTTGCTGACGGGTGCCCCAAAGACGAAACACAACTCACTGATGGCAAACCTGATGGCCTCGTGAAGCTGCTGCAGACATTTCAGGGTGTTCACGTGGATGAGGGAAAACCCCGAAGGCTGGCGCTGAAACTCAAAACACTGACCCAGAAAAATCCATGAAAATTCAGAGAAAGGAGAAGGGTGATGGCTGGGGTTTCTCCAAGTTACTGTGGAAGAAGACCTCCAGCTGAGCAGCTGTTTCTCTCCCCACTCGCTCAGATCACTCAGCAGAAAGGCTGTGTCTACCAGCCTCACCCACTACAACCTGTCAGAAAGGAGGTCACCCCATCCCGGGAGCTGCCCACCACATGTGAGGGACCTCGAGGCATGGAGGTGAGCAGAGTCTCCTGGGAATTCAAGTGCAGGACCAGGGTGTGGGGCAGTGTGGAGCAAGGAGGGACCTGCCCCCACCCTCAAGACAGGACCTGTGAGGGCAAAGCCAGGTAGCAGGGAAAAGAGGTGGGGAGGAGTGGTGGGAACTGCCTGGGGCACAGGGGAGAGGGAGCAGAGAGAGCAATGCTGCTCCCATGTTTCTTAGTGCTACACACACAGCAGTTAGGCTCCTTCAGATGGAAACCTATGGATTCCACAAGCAGGAAGGGGAGGGGAGAGGGAGAGACCTTCGTCAGGTCGCAGGCCCTGGGTCAGTGCTTCCCATATCTTGGGGACAGGGCCCTACTGGGCCACTGCCAGCCGACCTCAGCAGCTGCTGCCACAGCCCAGAGGGGCGCTCAGAGGCAACCGGATTGGGCCGGGGGACCTCCAGTCAGGACAGCTCCATGTCCCCGTGTTTTCACTCCACGTGTTGCATAGCTCCCAGAATATGAAATGCTTGTGATGGCTTTGAAAGTAAATGTTCCCCTGTCTGTGTCTGCCACTTCCACAGTAGTCCTCACTAAGGCTCGGAGGGCACCAACTGTCCAGGGCTGCAGTTCCTGCTCCGGAGAATTCAGGCACTGTGAAGCTCCCTCCATGGAGGGCACATTCTCCTTCTCCACATTCCCACTGCATTTTCCCCTGTGCTGTGGACATGGACCTGTGCTGTCAGATCTGACCCTTTCCACTGCTCCCAGCACAGTGAGGGCCTGGGCTGTGCTCCCCGACGCAGTGCAGAGCACACCGCCTCACTTGGCCCCTTCTCTCCACTACCTCATTCACACAAAGGTCTTGGGTGAGAAATGACTCACCCAACGTTCTATTTCTTTGTCCTAAATAACTAGTTTTTAAAGCTAGTAAAATATCTGAATAGGTTGTAAAGGGTTTGTTTGTAGAACACCAACAGTATCATCCAAGTTCTTGTGTGTGTGTAACTAAACTGATCATGATTAATTAAAAGTGCTACCTGAAGGGTTTTCTAAAAGGAAAATGTAATTATGCCACTGTGGAAGGAAAATTTAACTGTCTAAAGTCCCGAAGTTTTCTTAATATACAGGTCAGCTCATAATTATATTTACAAAACTGACTTAAAGAACAAGGATTTCATGTTTTGCCAAGTTAATTATTTTGTGTTTCAGGGTTAGACTTTTGACTACGTAAGGAACTGTGCCTTAACAGAGACAGCATTTGCTAAGTTTCAGTTAGCAGTAAAGTCTTTTTATCCAGACCATCAGTTTTATGTTCTGATTTGATGAACAGTTTATTATAGCATATTTATGTATTTATTTAGGTATTAGGGATCAAACTCACAACCTTGCACTTGCCAGGCCAGTACTTACGCCACTGAGCTAAATCCCTGGCCCCTATTATAGCATATTTAATAGCCTTGCATTTGGGACCAGAGAGGTGTGTCCACTGAGGAGTGAATGTGCTGTGAGCCTGATTTGTCTGAATACTGCTAAGTTCACAGACTTAGAAGCACACACGCTTAATATACGCACAGTGACCAATATGTGCTCACTCATGTAACACACACTGCATCTGACCTCAAACGCAAAATGGTCAACGTAACCTTACACATTTGTGTTCAGTGCCATGAAACAGAAACTCATCATTGCTCAGTCGTGATCCTCAAAACCTTGGCTGCTTCTGGCCTACGCAGACCTGTTACAGAGTCTCACTTCTACTTGAAAATAGTTGAAGCTGTGTCACTATAAGAGGACACAGTTACTGCTGGGTTCTTTGGATGTTAAGTGCATGTATGTTGCCCAAGAATGCAGGTTTTCTAGAATATAGTGAGGAAAAGCCCTCAGCACACTGGTGTTTTGCAAGCTAAGACTGTTAGCATGATAGCCTTCTTTGGTCCGTATTAATATCTGTAGGGAAATGAAGTTTGAAGCATATTTGGAGGAAACAGTAAGGAGAGCCTAATGACCCCACTATAATAACGTCACTCGTAACTAAATGCTGAGTCCACAGAAAGTGACAGAATGACCTGATGCCTGCTACACTGTTTGCATAGTTCTTCTGATCACAGCTACTGTAAATACTATGTAGCAGACTATGCTGCTCTCTCCTGAGTACTGAAGCCCTTGCCTCAATCTGTCCCTGACCTCTCCTCCAACTCTGCTCACTGAGACATGCAGAGTGGGCTGCATGAAAAAATGTTATCAAGTCCAGCCACAGCATAGGTGGTCTCATTAATAGCAAAGCAGCAACACATGTACAAGAACAGTCTCCATGCCAATGGCTGGAACAGAGCCTTGAGTAAGAGCCTGTGAGATTCCAGGCTAAGACATGGGAAACATCACAGCTGAGGCTATGACTCACACAGAACTATATCTTCTTGGCAGTAAAGAGCCAGCATACATCAAAACTATCTGTGCACTGCTAATTGGAGGCCTCTGTGCCTACTTCTCTGTTTTACATTACAGCTATTATTTTTCCTAGCATTCTGCTATGACCCTGTCACAGTTTATGTCGGTGGTCCCCAGGCCTCATTCATTTGCATTGTGCATTTGTGATTGGTTCATTGTCTAGCGTTTGAATTGATGGTGTCAGTGCTACACCCACCTAGGGGTGGAGCCAACATACAATGTAAGGCAGGAAGAAGGTCTTGCAGGTTTCTGCCTTGCTGTTTGCAGCCCCCATGAACTGCAGCCCTGCCATGCCGCCCTGCCTTGGAGCCAAGTGAGAATAGCCTGAAACCTCCAAAACCTGTAAGAAATAAACTTTTCCTTTCCCAACTTTGGGCATCAGGTATTTTGTCTCAGTGACAAGTAAAAAGTAACTAAGACAGACCCTTATCCAACTCCCTGGTTGATACCAATAAAAGCCTTAAGCTTCTGGACATAAGGTCTTTTGCTCTACAGAGAACACTGGGTCACCCCAGAGCTCCTCAGCTACAAAACTTTGTCTTTATTTTGCATCTGTGTGTCATATTTGCACCTGGTGGGTTGGATTGATACCCTCTGTGGAGGTCCAAACACTCAATGCATTTGTAGCTACATTAATAAAAGGGTTCTAACATGTACTCTGGAGTTCAGCTGACAAAGCTGGACTTGTAATTATGCTTCTTGGTTCAGGATTATTATACTAACGTGAATGCTTTTGCTCATTAGTGATAGTTTTTTCCCTAAACAGTTCTGCCTAGTCATCATGGCAGAGGCCCAACATAGCGAGGAGATTATAAAAAGATACTTTATCAGTCTTCTTCTTCAGGTGCTGTAGACCCAAAACAGACTTCCTGCCTTTCCTTCCCTCTCATGACAAAGGCACTCCAATCCCTAGATAAAATGTTACTTCTGCTCCACCTTCACCAGCTAGTCTAGCACCACCCCAGTGAGAGTTAATATAAGCAGCCCCAGCCCTGTGTCTAGCAAGAGTGTCTCTGCATTCCTCTGCAGCATCTCCAGTGCTCCCGCAGTAAAGGCCTCTTCATACTTTGTCTCCTTCTTATCTCTCTAGAGCTGCTTCAGATTGAGTGTTAAAAATAATCAATTAGTTTTCTAGGTTTTCAAATTTACATATCAAATATGTAACTCTGATAAAACATAAACCTCCTGACAGTAAATGCACGGGTTTTCCACCCCAAGTAATTCCTGCTCTCCAAAAGCTCCTGGCAGTTCTGCAGTTTAATCCAATCCTGACACCCTCTACATTTGCCATGTGATGATGATCCTCGCTTCTATCCACGATAACTGCAGGGGACGGCCAACTACCCATAGCATTTCTAGAAATCTAGTCAGCTAAAGAAGTATAACTTTTTTTATTCTGAAAAAAGTCAGAAACATTATCTTGAAAGATAAAACAACTACACTGGAGAAAAAGTTTAAAATTCATTAAATCATGCAATAGTAGCTCTAAAAAATACAGTTCACCTATAAAAGATTAGGCATTACACAGGCTGACAGGTGAGTGCCTGGTTAGTTTAATCTTATGATCAGTTCTGTTGTACCATTAGATCAAAAAACCTTCTCTGAAGATGAATGTGTCATTTTTCCTTTCACTCTTCTAGGAGACATTTCAGGTGTAAGGATGGGCACCCATGTTTAATTTAAATGTTTAAAACACAAGACATTGAGCCACCCTGGATATTTCTTAACTGATTTTCCATAGGAATTCTAACTTGAGTTATTTTCCTCTTGGTCTGAATAATTCTGTTAATAAATGTAATCTCTCTTTCCCTGATGTCATACTGTCTCCTGATAGTGTCCCCTTCTTTACTCCAAAATGGCAATAGTAGCTACAGTCATCTGCCCACTTTATATAGTGATAACAAACATACCTTCTGAAGTTATGGAAACTCTGCTTCCTTTTGAGGAATTTAAATTTAGTTTCTTCAGTTTTCTGCAGTTACACAGGTGCAGGAGAGCAGTATCAGAGATATCACAACTCTGTAGATCTAGAGTTTGGACTTCAGGATGTAAAATCTGTAACAAATACATGTCTTTGTAAAATAAAGTTTTCTGTAAATTGAAAAGGTTCACTCCTGGTTCAGTATTTTGGTGATCATAACAAAGTTGCAACAGGAACTATAGCAAAGAATACTGAAATGTATCCGTGTGGACACAGATCTGCAAAGCAAGAAAAGACCAGGCTGGACTTTGGCTGGAGCTGCAGCTTTCAGGGCCCCCAAGTCCTAATACAGCACCAAACACTGTGAGGTGGCAGGTGCAAAGGAAGACCCAAAGACCCAAGAGGCATCACCCCTGGGGCAAGTGATGCCCTTGTTCTGCAGCTGCCAAGTGTTGGTAGAGATCCCATCTTGTGCCTCCGTGCTCGGCTCAAGGAGTCTTGATCACTTAGAGGGAAATAGTGGTGCTTATCTGGGACATTTACTTTCTTCATCACTGGGGGGATCCAGTGCAAACCAACCGCGTATCAGTCAGTGTGTGTAACAAGTACAAGTCAATTTTGAAGCATTCTGAACTCTTTCTGGTTGTATATTTCTGTTTTTCTTTTTGAGACAGGGTTTTGCTATGCAGTTCTGGCTGTATTTGAACTCACTTTGTAGCCCAGGCTGGCCTCAAACTCGAAGTGATCCTCCTGCCTCAGCCTCCTGAGTGCCACTACCAAAGACAGCATACAGGGAACACAGGGAGACATCTGGAGACCAAGATATCTAGAGAACATAGCTATTTTAAAAGAACCAGTAGGGAGATGGAGGCAAGCAGTTTGAGACTTGGAAACTGGCCCAGGCAATTTAGTGAGACACTCTAGCTCAAGAAATATGGAAAAAAATGCAGAGGTAGAAATAAAAGCAGGAAATTTTTTTCTATTAAAAGGATTATTGGGGCTGGGGATTTAGCTCAGCGGCATAAGCACCTGCCTTGCAAGCAGGCAGTCGTAAGTTCGATCCCTGGTACCGATAAAAAAAAAGGAAAAAGACAAAAAAAAAAAAAAGATTGTTACACTGAGTGTGGTGGTGTATGCCTATGGTGTTAGCACTCTGGAGGGTGAGGCAGACAGATCGCTGTGAGTCTGAGGCCAATGTGGGCTACATCAGTGAGTTCAAGACTAGCTTGCACTATATAGTGAGACCTTCTCTAAAAAAAAAAAAAAGAAAACCCAAAACAAACAAACACAAGTATCTTTTTGGGTACAATGGTGCATGTCTGTAATACTACCATTTGGGAGGCTGAGGAAGGAGGATTGCTGAGAGTTTGAGGCTAGCCTGGGCTACACAGTGAGTTCTTGTCTCAAAAAAAAAAAAATGCTGTCAGGGTCAAAAAGGCACAACTCTTCTTTTGGAAAAATATAAAAAATTCACGAATTTCTTTCTTACTATATGAGGTAACATGTAGTATGCTGTGCTTTATTCTTTTTAGAAAGAAACTTTTGTATCTTTACTTCTGTATAAATGTTATGATTTTCACAGACTAATTTTACTTGTCTCTCAATTTTTGAATATCAAATGATAACCAACAGAAGAATTCATTTCCATTTTTGTAAAATCAGGAAACTTATTTCCCATGTCTTCTATTTCTTTTTGTTGGCTTTTTTTTTTTTTTTTTTTTTTTTTTTGCCTTTCTGAGACAGGGTCTCACTATGCAGTTCAGGCTAGCCTTGAACTCACTTTGTAGCCCAGGCTGGTCTCAAACTTGCAGCAATCCTCTTGCCTCAGCCTCCTGAGTGCTGAGGTTACAGTTATGCATCACCATGTCTGGCTGCTTTTTATTTTTTTTAACACAGGTAAAAAGAAAAATCTATGTATTGAGATGCTGAATTATGAATGTTTTTCATTATCAAGGACTGAAAAATACATTTTTCTTTAGTCTGAGTCCTTACTAAACAAAATTATACAGACATTGTAAAAAGTCAGTATGAAAAGATTACATCACTTTTAGTGCCCTATTATCCCCAAAATAAGACCTACCTAGAAAATAAGCCCTAGCATGATTTTTCAGGAGCATGTAATGTAAGTCCTACCCCTAAACAAGCCCCAGTTAAGATTATCAGCCAGACAGATGTATTTGGTACGTTCACTGCAACACATGGTGGATGTATTGAATTATAAAACAATATCATTAATATAAGAAGTACTCAATTTAAGGAGACTGCTATTGCTGGACATAAGAGCTTGGAGCCAACAGTTCTACAGGAAATCAAGTCATGAGAAATTCAAGCTAGACTTCAGGGTTTGGAGAGTTATGATCATGTCTCAGAAGACAATGACTGCATTTGAGTAAATGTAGATATTTTTATACATGAATACATGTAGATTGTTATACATGAAAAAATAAGACATCCTCTAAAAATAAGACATCACATCTTTTAGAACAAAAATGAATCTAAGACCTGGTTTTATTTTCAACAAAATACAGTATTGGATAGGGCACTGCATGAGAAGCCCATTGGAATCTGTTTTCTAGAGCTGCCACTGCCATGCACCGCTAACACAGAGGCTCAAAACAACAGGACTTGACTTATTTTCAGTGGTGCAGGCAGCCTGTTCAGAGAACTCAGAGGGAGGACCTTCACTGCACCTGTTCCTAGCACGGGGCCCTGATCCCAGGGTCATAGCTACAGGCATCACTGCGGGGTCTGCCTCTTCTTCCCCAGGACTCCGTCTTCTCCTGGCTGTGTCCTTACGAGGACACTGGTCTTATGGAACCTGGGGCCACTCTTCTCGACATGACTGCCTCAACACTAATTACATATGCAAAGGCCCCAGTTCAAAATAAGGCCACAGTCTGAGCTCCTGAGGGCAGGACCTTAACACTGCGGGTGGCAGCAGGGAGTATAATTCACCAGAACACTGCTTCGTGGTCAACGGCTTGTCTAGGGAAACAGAACGCTGTTTGTTCTCTCATTTCCTAGTAATTGAAGCAAAAATTTCGATTATCATTCTGTAAAGTAAGATCTTAATTTGTAGAAAAATAATGAATGAAAGTACTTTTTTCCTCCTATATATGTAAATATTTCTGCACAGTAGAGATGATGGCCTCAGTGGATAACTTTATTGTCCTAGAAAATATTCTCCAATTTTGTGTCTAATTTAGTACATTACTCCAGCCTCTTTCTTTCTTGCCACTTTCTGTATTCCAGATATAGAAGGTGTCAGGTTCTTGGATACTCTTTTGGACTAGTTTTGCATTTATAGGTCCCTTTATTCATGAGTTGCTGAAACCTTTGGCACATGTATATTTGTGTAAGAACTATATTTTAACATTTTTAGAATTACTTTTCTTTCGGAGTGTCTTTTTGAGACAGGATTTTGCTATGTAGTTCAGGCTGGCCTTGAACTTACTATGTAGCCTAGGCTGGCCTCAGACTTGCAGCAATCCTCCTGCCTCAGCCTCCCAAGTGCTGGGATTACAGGTGTGTGTCATCACATCCGGCCTAGAATTACATTTTTTTTTTTTTTTGTCTTTTTCATTTTTATCGGTACCGGGGATTGAACTCACGACCGCCTGCTTGCAAGGCAGGAACTTATGCCGCTGAGCTAAATCCCCAGCCCCTAGAATTACATTTTAACACACTGAAAATTCAGAAAAAAAAGGATAACTTTTACAAACCATTCATGAAGTTAGTTACTTAATAAATGTAAATAGTATGAAAGCTTGGAAGTAAATCAATCTTCATTGCCTCGGGACTAGGTCACCTTTCATTGTTTCTTGCTTCCCCTGAACAGAGACCCTAAGTTTTTCCCACTGGCCACTGTGCTCTCAATTTTAATCTGATTTTCTGAGCAACACATCAGCAGCTGTGAAACACTGTAATTTTCATAAGATCCCGGGAAGTGGTTACTTTTACCTTCTACTTTACAGTTCTGAGAACTGAGGCTCCATGTCAGGAAAGTGGTGAAGCTAGAATATTAGTTTGCTACACTTAATGCCTCATGGAAAAGCCAGCGAAAGGCAGAGGCACGCTGAGGAAGCTGGCGTGGCTGGAGGGAAAGGGAGTCAGTGCCAAACAGCAGGAGGCAAGGATAAGCAAGAGGAACGGACATACTTTAAAAAAGCAGAAGGACATTTTTGTTATCTGGAGGAAAAAAGTTCCAGGTGATTTGTATTTTAAGTTGATTCTTAATTCTACTACATCTCCTTGCTCAAAAACTGTAAAGCCATACTTAAAACAGAAAACTACAGGTGGGGCACACACCTATAATGTGAGCCCTTGGGAAGCTGAGGCAGGAGGACTGCAATTTCAGCATATTCTGGACTACAGTACAAGACCTTGTCTGTAAAGCAAAACAACTCAAAGACGTATGATTACTTTGCAGTTACATAGACTCTTACCTCATTTATATTCGAATCTGTTATCCGTCCCTGCATGCTCATTATTTTAATCAGCCTGTCTTTTATGTTGGGAGGCAAAGGCTTAATGTCTGTGATGTATCTGGAAATATTCTCCATGAAGCACCAAAGACATCTGAAATACAAACACAATGCAGAAATTATGCTGTGCTGGTTTTCTAACACTTGTCAATGCTTCTTAGCACCCAGACCTTTCACCAAACAGCATGCATACTTTACTCATATTTACAAATTTGGCTCAGCGAGGTTTGAGTCCTTGTCTGTGCTGTTACAGATGAGATGCTTTTCCTCCACGTTTTTTCTCAGAATATCTCATTTATCGAAATGTACCTCAAATGACTAAAAAAGTATCTTTCCTAAGTCAGTCTATCTAATTCCTCAGATACAGCACTAAGATTTCAGTCTCATACTCCTAGATAAACATTAAACCAGGGCCCACTAATTTCTGTTAATACAACAAACCTGTTTCACTATTTTTCTTTAAAATTACATAAGTTAGCCAGGTGTGATGCTACATGGCTGTAACGCTGACTACCTGCAAGGCTAAAACAGGAGAACTGCAATGCTAACCTATGCAATTTAGCAAGACACTGTCTCAAAAAATAAATGTAAAGTATCAGGGGCGTAGATCTGTGACAGAGAACTTGGCTAACATGCATAATGCCCTCATTTCAATCCCCAGGATGGCAAAAGAAAACAAACAAATAAACATGTAGGTTAAAAAAATGATGTGGGTGGTGAAATCACTCAAGAAAGAACTATAGCCATAGGAACTGCACAGGGAGTACACATCATGGAGACACATGTACATGTGTAATGTGGTCAGAACAGGCAACAAGCAAGACCCAGAAGGAGCTCTGCACTTGTGCTGGCTCCCGTGGGGTATTTATAGGAGAAGCCTATAAGCAGCCACTTGCTGCTGGGGTCTGAATGTTTGTGCCTCAATGCCAAACTCATGGCAAAGTCCTGAATACGCTACGTTAGGAGGTGAGGACAGGAGGTAGTCAGGTGGAGCACACAGGAATGGATTGGTGCCCTGTCAGGCCTTGTATCTAGATGTCCCCCCAAACCTCCTGCTATCATAGGTGGGGAGTTTTGAAGGTGGCTAGATTAGGGTGTGTGGATGTGGATTAAGGGGTGATGCTGGGAGTAAAGGGTGGATAATGGAAGCCCCATCCTGGGTGTGGGTGGCACCAATCAGTACGTTTGTAGACTGGATGAAATATAAAAGGAGGAGGATGCTGCTGCTGCTGACCTTGCTGCCTTCTGCCTCCCCGCCATGGACTGTTTCTCTTGTGATGTCGCTCTGCCATGCCACCCTGCCTGGGAGCCAGCCGGCTATAGACTAAAACCTCTACACACTGTGAGCTGAAATAAACCTTTCCCGCCTTAATAGCTGCCTTGTGGGTGTCAGGTATTTTACCTAGCAACTAGAAAAGTAACTAAGACATGCCCTTATCAATGTGACTTTCAGGACGTGAGGGTACAGTAAGTGAGCTGTCTGGAACCTAAAAGAGATTCTCACCCATACCTGAAGATCTGAAGAGGCTGGCAAGCAAATCTTGAACTTCTAGCCTATAGGTCTTTGAGAAACGACTTTCTATAGTTTAGAGCCACATGCTAGGGCGCTGTGTTCTACCAGTGCCATCAGATACCCATGCAGTGGGCTGTGTCACAGGAAAGGAGCCACTAGTCAGGGACTGGACTGTGTAAGGGTTAAGAAGATGACCAAAGCCCCACATTCTGAGGCCAAGGTTGCTTTTTTTTGGAATGGAAAACTATGTAGAAAGCTGTGTGGTTTTTGGCTCTGTGTGGGAAACTCATAAGCACAGTGCTCTCAGAGCAAGATCATACACAGTGAGGACAACAGAGAGCAAGCTAGCCCCCATTAGCCTGCATGGTCACTGGGAGAGGCCAGGCCCTCTTTCACCCTTGCCTCTTTTGAAGTATGTCTGTTCCTTGTTTTTCAAAATCTCCTACCACTGTGTCAGGAGTGATCCTGCTCCCGTGCTGCTTGCTGGCTAATGGAGGAGCACTGACTTTGAAGGCTGGTGAGCTTGTTGAGTTTTCTCTTGGGCCCCCATCTTAAAATTTTGTCTTTTTTTTGTCCTCACTGACTCCCTCCACAGGTATCAAAAGGTTTGATCAGCCCCCAGCAACCACTGTTTCTGTAGGAAGTTGAAGCAAGTCTGTCCTATTGTGCTCCCAATATTATAATCCCAATAGAAACTCCTTATAACATTCTAATCCAACTGTTTTATATTGTAATTCAATTATTATAATCCTTTCTCCGGCCCACCTTGTAATCTAGCAAGTTATATTTGTAATCCCATAGAAACGTTACTAGAATTCCAGTGAGTCAATTCCAATCTACCACCTCCAATGCAACCCACAGTGAGAGCAAAGACACTAAGATATATGCAAAGTTATGGGTAACTAAGAGGTCCTAAATCCGATCCAAGAGAGGATGTAAGGACAAAGGTATTGATCCAAGGCCTCTCCTAGAATTTACCTTCTGAAGAAGGAAGTGGTTCAAAGGTGAGTGACAGTGAGGATGGTGGGAACTACATGAGTAATCCAGCTAGCCAGATGGGGAGAAAAGCATCTTTGCAATATGCAGGGAGAATGATATGCAGAAGAATCAATCTGCAAAACTCAATTAGGGTAGCATTTGATGGTTTTAGGAAACTGTGGCTTCAGTTTCTGATATGTAACCTTTTGTACTCTGGAAAATCAGACTCTTATTTTGAGGCTCATACCCAGCTGACATTCCTGGAGCCGAGTGGCTCTGCCATCTCACTATGTTCAATCATTTAATAGGCACAAGGAGAGGAAACAGGAAATTGCTGACTGGCCTTGATGATTACATATGTACCTCAGCTAGCCTTATATGCACTGCATATAGCCAATTGAAGGGAGAAGGAAATTCCATAGCCAGCTCTGGACATATCTGTGCATGGAAATGACTAGATTTACTGTTGAAGCAATTGTTCTGCATTCAAGGGGAGCTGCTTAAATCGTCTCCTACATGTCCTATGTTTAGAGGAAATAGTATTCATTCCTGAAGACTGTCCGCACAATTTTGAGAGCTAGCCTAGCAAAGAGCAGTTAGGGCCCAGAGTTTTTGAACACCAGTAAGAATGTACAGGTCACAGGCAGATGGCCTCTCCCAGCAAGTCAGCCTGACACATCTTGGATGAACATAAACATTTACTAAGTAAGCCATTCATCAGCTGCTCAAATTTGACCAACAGAGGCTCAAACTAAATCTGATTAATTTGTCTTGTGTAGTCTTTCAGTAAGGCTGCTTTCCTCGGAGAGGCTGCAGGCCAATCTGCAGTACTTAAGTCAGTGTTCAGACCAAGGTCACAGACCTGCTAATTAGGGCTGTGATTGGGATAGCAGTGGAACCCACAGTTCTCATTTCATTTCAGACAGGACGTGATCAAAATCCAGTCCACCTTTCCTCTTTTTTGAGATTATGTTGGGGTATTTTAAATCTACTTCCTGGTCCTATATGTTTTAGGATCAGCTTGTCAATTTCTGCAAAAGTTAGCTGGGATTCTGAGAGGATTATGTTAGCTCTGTGGATCATCTTGCAGGTTACTGTCATCGCTCATGGGATGAAGTGTATCCTCAAAGTGATAAGCCTGAGTAATTCAAAACATGACTAGATTTGGAGTCAGGACCTTTGCAGATGTTGATGAAGTCAAGTGGACTTCTAGGATGGGCTCTGACCCCATCTGCCTGGTGTTTCTCCAAGGGGATACCTGGGCCTGAGGAAACTAGGGTGCACTTGGAGTGGGAAGACTGAGTGCGAGGGCCCTGGGGAGAAATCAAGCTGCCAATGCCCTCCTGGTGAGCTTCCCACCTCCAGGACTATGAGGGAATAAACTTCAGCTTAAACCATCTGGTCTGGGGGATTTCCCTAGAACAGCCTAGCAACCTAGGAAGTCATCTTTTCAGAATCGTCTCAAAACTGTGAACAGGAAACGAGTTTCTGTTTAGAACCTAAAATTTTAACTGATTTTTAATTTTTGAAGTGTTTTGCGCTTGTAGCACTGACTGACTGATACTGCGAAACCCAGGGGTGCCTTCCAGCCAGTTTTAAAAGTGGCACTGAAGATTGCACCCAGGGCCTTCCCTGAGCTACACTGCCAGTCTCTATATTTTTGAGACAGGGCATCAGTAAGTCTTTAAATTGTCCATGAGACTGAATTTTCAGTCCTCCTGCTTCAGCCTCCAGGAGTGCAGGATTGACAGTTCCCTATCCCTTATTTTTTGAGACAAGGTCTTACCAAATTGCAGATTTAGTAACATGGTATGTGCCACCATGTTGTAGACCACTACAAAGGGCTCTGAGAAGGATTTAAATTTTACTAATTGGCTATGTTTATCTGTGAGTCTGGTCTTCCTAGGCCTATGCCCTTTGCCTGGCGATGGGAGCTGATTCATAAGTGAACCTCTATGAATCACTGGTCCTGGCTGAGACCTGTAGTGACCTGTGAGGCCAGAGATACCTCAAAGGACAAGATAAGGCCACAGCTGTGGACCCTCTGGCTCCAACCCCAATTAACAAGGTAGAGACTGCAGCTGCAAAGATTACTCCTACAGTCTCACTTCTACCATGTCTTCATGATAAGACAGTGCTACTGAATTGACTTGATTCATGACTTGGAGACGTCCTTGAAGTGACTCCCAAGGTCCTGCTCATTGTCTGCACTTTCCGCAATTTCTCTGCCCTTTGTCCTTGGCCCTAGTGTAAGTGGACTGATCAAGAGAATCCTTTGTCTCTACCCTCGAAGTCTTGAGCTTAATTACAGGGTTTTGACCCTCCTGGAGCCCTAAAAATCATACAATTTGTCTCTTTTTATTTAACTTCCGCCATACACTCATTTGGGAGATCAGGGATCTAGGTCAGAACCCGATACCACCATACTCAGGTTTTTTAAATTTTGTATTGGGGATTGAACTCATGCCCTCGTGCTTGCAAAGCAGGTGCTTATGCTGCTGAGCTAAACCCTTGCCCCCCCCCCCTTTTTAATGCAACTATGAAAAAATGTCACTCATTAGTTGGGATTTTTTTTTTTTTTTGAGACACGGTCTTGCTATGTA